GGAGCTCTTGAGTTGGAGGCCAGCCTGGTCTAGATAGCAGGTTTCAAGACAGTCAGGGTTACACAGCGAGAACTTGTCTCAAGAAACAACAAAAAGTCTGTTCCGCTAACAGAGTATACCCTAGTGACCCTGACTGGAGAGTTAGAGAGGAGGAGAAAACACTGCAAAAGACACAATCCCAAATCCACTTGCTTTATTTGAAGTGATGATCAAGGTTTATACCTTGCAGAGCCACAAGCATTTGGCGGTAGAGCCCGGAGTGGGAGGGCCAGATTGTTTGGTACTCTGATAACTGTAAGAGACTAGGGTGCTCAGGGCAGCCTGGCTCCTCTGAGGCATCCAGTTACCATGGAGACAGCAGGTTTGGGCAGGTTCCCCCTGGGGAGATTCCAGGGGGATAAGTGTTTCAAGTTCTTGAACTAAACAATGAGACACAGTTGAGCACTACGAGGAAGGGAACCCCACTTTGGGGATGGAGACAGTATATACTGAAATCCGGGTATCATCTTGACAAGGACATAGGGTGTTCCGAGGAGCCAGAGCCCAGGGTGAATTCATCAGAATACATTTCTGTGGGAATGCCACACAGCTAAGGGACCCACAGCGGCAGCCTCACACCTGCCTCCTACACAGCACCCTTACATTTGCTGCTTTCCCATCCCAACCCCTTGCCGAGAGCTCAAAGTCTCCAGCTGTGCAAAGCGTTGGCACAAGGGACTGCCCCATCTTTAGCTCAGGCCTTTCAGCTGCTCTCCAAATGTGCACAAGCACACCGTTAGGGTGGTTCACGTCCTTCGGTCTAATGCCTGCCTCTGGTGAGAGCTGCGTTTGACTTTTGACTGTGGCTAGAAACTCTTTCAAGCCTCCCACCTCACCAGCTTCCTGTGAACAACATCAGCCGCTGCCCACTGAACACCACACAGGCAGGGGCCCAGGCCTGTCCCTGATGTATCTGCAGGCACTAGAAATTCTGCTCAAGGCTTGAACAACTAGGAATTGGGGATCTGCAGTCTTAGCAAGACTAGGATGGTGTTTCTGCTGAGGTGGCTTTCTCCTCTGGGATGGGATCCTAGGCCCATAGGGCGAGGACCACAGAGGGGCACCTATATGGTGTTGGATTCACCAGGCTGATGGTGAACTACGTTCTGGAAGACTCCACGTGGAGTCTTTTGTTCTACTTTCTTATCAACCCAAGCTCCCTTTGCCCAGGACCCAGCTCTTTGGTTTAATAAGACTGGTTCAGCAGTCTAGTGTTACTGAATTCTCTATTCTGTTACCGGTCTCACGTATGTCAAGAGAGGGAGCAGGCGGGAAGCGCAGGCTCCTTGTCCTGAGCACTGGGTCACAACTCTACTCAGTTCATCTGCCCTGCCTTTGCTCTGCTTCCACAGGGGAGCGTATTTGATGTGTCCAGAGGGACAGTAAGCAGAGACGGGTACGGAACCTCTGGCCTGGCTAGAATAAACCACACATTTCTTTGCTGGGTGGTCAGGCACCTCTGGCAGCAGGGGGAGAACTAGGAGAGCTGCTTTTTCCATTTGAGATTTCCATACCTCCCAGGCTATTGGCTTTGTGCCTCATCCCGCCCCCTGGTGGTAAAGAGATCTCTTCTTTGGTTGCTTGTTTTATTTCAATTTTTACCTTGATTTGAAATATCTCATTCAGCCCAGGTTGGGCCTGAACTTGCTCTGAAGTCCGGAGGCTGGCCTTGAACTTCTGATCCCTCTGCCCAACCTCCCTTCTTCTGTGGTTCAGGCTAATCTTGAATTCTAGAGCTCAGCTGATCCTCCCACTTTAGCTTGCCCATGGCTGCTGTACTACTGGCATACCATATTCGGCATCTTGTTTTATTCGATTTTTTAAAAACAGTATTTGTTATTAATTTTCAGACAAGCTCTGCTACGTTCCATGAAAGACTAGGAACTCAGAGATCTGCCTGCCTCTGTCCCCCAGGTGCTGAGATTAAAGGCATATGCCACTATGCCAGCTTTTTAAAAAATATATATATATTTATTATGTATACAGTATTCTGTCTGCAGGCCAGAAAAGGGAACCTAATCGAATTACAGATGATTCTGAGCCACCATATAGTTGTTGAGAATTCAACTCAGGTCCTCTGGAAGAGCAGCCAGTGCTCTTAACCTCTGAGCCACCTCTCCAGTCCCGCCAGCTATTTTATTTTTAAGATTTATTTGTTATGTGTATGAGTGTTTTGCCTGCACATGTGTATGTGTTCCATGTGTGTGCATGGTGCCTGCAGAGGTAAGAAGAGGATCTCCTGGAACTAGAGCACCATGTGGAAGCTAGGACCCTGATCCTCTGTGAGAGCAGCAAGTGCTCTTAATAGCTGAGCCATCTCTCCTGTCCTCACCCCACCCCCTTTTTTGATTTTCTGAGACACAGTTTCTCTGTGTAGCCCTGGTTAGCCTGGAACTTACTCTGTAGACCAGGCTGGCCTCGAACTCAGAGATCTGTCTGTCTCTGCCTCCCGAGTATCGGGACTGAAGGTGTGCGCCACCGCCTGGCCTCTCCTGTCCTGTGTGTGTGTGTGTGTGTCCCCGAAGACAACCTATGGGAATCAGTTCTCACTCTACCATGTTGGTTCTGGGGTAGAACTAAGGTTTTGTCTTGGTGACCCCTGCTCTTTCCTGCTAAGCCCTCTCCCTGGCCCTCCTTTTTAAACAGGAGCAGTGGTAAATGTTAAGAGGCAATCAAGCAGCAACACAGGGGAAAGGCTGTCTGAGGGTGGCAGAGTGCTTTTCAAACAGAAACACTGCCGGGTACCACTTGGCAGAGACCCTGAAGTCCCCTTGAGACCCATGTCTTGGGATATTCTACAGGCAGCGCCTCGGTTCCAGAGCATCAAAATGCTCTCCACATCACAGGCAGTCTGACCTGGGACAAGACCCTGACAAATCTCTCTGACTACTGTCCTGGGCTATAGGAGCGGATGAAGGCAAGCAGGTGAGTCCAGGGGGCAAACAAGGAGCTTGCTGGTCAATTCCACAGAGTTATTCAGAAGAACCCGACACCCTCAACACTGCCAGTTCCATGCGAGGATTTTTCTGCATATACAAGCCACCTTTGATGCATGTGGATCAGAAGTATGAAGACACCAATCATGATGTCCCCTGTAGACAGGACATTCCGTGCTGATTCATCACGTGTGGGGACTGGCCTATCAGACCTGGCCTATTTACAACTCAAGTTCTGAGACAAAAACCACCTCCACCTCCCCCGAGGTCCAGTCATGTCCTCTACTGGTCCCCCAAAATATATATCACACTGAGACTTCAGACTCCCTGTGCAGAATAATCCTAATATGGTATCAAGTGGTGGGCAAAGGTGCAGGTCATGAAGCCGGGTCACTTGGAACCACAATGAGGTCCAGAAGGCGGCACACCTTCGGGTACTTCTCACACAGATCAAGGCCTCACCACTCTTGGCTCTGCTGGATACACGGCTGCGCTTTACCAACAGAGGAAGGTAACACACAGTCAAACAGTGAAATGACCAGGTTCTCAGTCACAAGGCCGACCAGCACACTCAAACAAGACAGCACAGAGACTTCTTACCCATCGAACCGAACCGGTGCCAGTGTGGCACTGTGCCTGCCAAACCTGCACACTCTTGGAGACTCTACAGCATCTATCCAAAGAAAGGAGCTTGGGCCAGAGAAGGAAGATTCACAGTCAAAGACAGAGGGGTAAGGTAGGGGCAGAAGATGAGAACTGAGACGGTGGCTACTAACAGCCTACACAGGAACCACCCCAGGATTCTGTTTGCTCAACATGAGCACAGAGCCCCCCAAGGGTCCCTAATCCTGCCGCGGAAAGCAATTACTGCCTGTAATTGTCATGTAGACAGCACAGCTGGGCCAAAGCTGGATGGTAACATTAAAATAGAACACCACCACTTATGGTGTTGTATGTACGGTGGTGCACGTCTTCAGTCCCAGCATTTGAGGCAGAGGAGGCAGATCTATGTGAGTTGGAGGCCAGCCTGGTCTACAAACTGAGTTCTAGGACAGCCAGGGCTACTCAGAAAAACCCTGTCTTGAGAAACAAAATAACAAACAACCACAAAAAAACCACCCAAGGGTGAGCATGCTTGGCTGGTGGTGCATGATTCTAGCACTTAGATTGTTGAGGCAGGAGGAGGCTCCTGACTTCAAAGCCTGCATGACTATGCAGATACTGTCTCAACTATCCCTACCTGAAATGGGGAAATCTCAGACTTCATGTTACAGCTGTCACCTCCCAAGCACGGACCGGAGAGTAGGAAATGACTCACAGGCAGAGGGCACATCTAAGCCTAGCCAGGGTGGAAAATGCACACAAGCACCACAGATTCTACTAGGGAAGACAATCCAATTCTCTTCACTGAATTCCAGTCAAACCAAAGAGAAAGCAGAACAGAAGAAAACAGCTAGGATCCTGGACTTTTATTATGCAGGTAATACTCAACGACTCAGAGACAAAGGCAACAGGACTGTCACTCACCTGCAGCGGCCAAGCACTTCAGAATGTCACTGTCTCCTACACCACCAATCAGTGCACCTCACAGGTCCAAACAGGGCCACCTTTCACTGTGGGCCTGTCACTCTCCATACAGGACAGGTGCCAGCAGACTCTTGGTTCTGAAGTTTACTTGCTTAAATCCAGTTTGTCCATCCATTTGCCCCACCCACGGTAGTCTGGGCAGTCCTAGAACACCATCTGTAGACCAGCCTGGCCTTGAACTTGAGCTCTGCCTGCCTCTGCCTCCTGAGTGTTGGCATTAAAGCAAATGCCACCCACACCTGGCTTACTTAGATCCAATCTTGTTTTTCTGTTTCTCACTCTTTTTAAACAAATCTGGAGGAATGATTAAGATGTTACACAGAAAGGCAACAGCTATTCCAGTATCCCCTACTGCTCCAGGTGTACCCCAACACACACACACCACAGGAAAGGAGCACAGAGAGACTCTAGTATGCCCAAGGAAAGCTGTCCAAGATATAAAATGGATTGTTTTTATTAAATAGATAAAGGGCTTCCTTGGCACCATCCACACACCTTTGCCCTTAGGATAAGACATGACGATGGAGAAAAAGCCACTGTACCAAACGCTACAAATTCCCACTCTGAGTGTCCTCATTCTCCGGTGTCAGCTCCCTGGTTCTGCGGATTCCAGAGGGCTGCCCTCCCCAGGCTTGGGCCTTGCCCGACAGCCGGCACATCCTTGCATAAACAGTGGCCACATGTGGTCACCTGGAGGAGCTGCGTTCTTTGCTCACGCAGTCATCCTGTGAGGTAGTGTCCCCATTTCCCACCATGCCGCACGTCCTCCTCTTCTTCCTGCGGTGTGTGGTCCCATCACCTTCAGATCCAGACTCACACTGGACAAAGGGAAGGAAAAAAATCAATTTAGGGCTGGGAGATGGCTCTGTGGGCAAAGGTTCTTGATGCTGAACTTCATGACCCTGGGGCTCACATGGAAGGAGAGAATCAACTACATGTCATTCTCTGCCCTCCACATGTGTACTATGGCAAACGCTTCTATGCATAGACACACCCATAATGAATCAATATAATATTAGAAGCTAGAGAGACAGCTCAGTGGCCAAGAGCACTTCCTGCTCTTCTAAAGGACAAAATTCACTGTGAGGTTTGTATACAGAGAAGTAATATTCAGATAGCAAATATATCTCTGTAGAGAAATATTTCAAACCACAATGTTTAAATAAAAAAAGCAGGATGTGGTGATGCACCTTTAATCCCAGCAGTCAGGAAGCTGGGGCAGGTGGATCTCTGTGGGTTCAAAACTAGCCTGGTTTACAGAGTGAGTTCTAGGACAACCAGCCAGAATGAGGCTGTCTCATAAATAAAAACAAAACAAAACAAATTCAGCATTCAGGAAGCAGAGACAAGTGGATGTCTGTGAATTTGAGGCCATTTGGTCTACACAGTGAATTCTAAGAAAGTTGGGGCTGCATAGAGAGACCCTGTCTCAAAAAAAAAAAAGCTGGGTGTGGTGTTGCATGCCTTTAATCCCAGCACTTGAGAGACAGTGCAGCTGGCTCTACAGAGTGAGTTAACCAAAGCAGGTTTGCCTGTTTCTTGGCTTCGGTGTTACCATCCATAGGGTCTAATGAAGGCTTTGTGATCAGAACAAAGATGGAAGCCCTGCTCTGTGCAAGCTGTGGCCCCAAGGCCACTGTCTCACAAACCTCCCAACACCCCCAGCACCTCTGCACAGATACAGTTCACAGGCGTGTGAAGCTGGGAAAGAGTGCAGCTGCAGGAACCCTGTGCTCCACTCCCCCTGGCCAGCTGAGGGCCTCACCTCTGAGTCCGTGTCGGAGGAGCTGGAACTGGAAGAGCTGGAGGAGTCGCTGGAGCTGTCAGAAGCGATGCCCGTGGACTCTTGGAGGTCAACAGCGTCGGCCAGGACTGCCAGCTCAGGGTGCTCCTGCTTCAAGATCCTGAAGGGCAAGAGGTACTGTTCTCAGGGCTGTGACAGTTGGTGGCAACACCCACTCAAAATGACACAGACTCAAAGTGGAGGACTCCATTGCTTGCAGCACCTGGAAACACCTAGTGCATCGGCTGGAGTGGCTCCCGGAGACACAACTGGGCTAGGACAGACCACGTGGGCTGCCCACATTCGCTGAAGGAAAACTATATTCTAGTGCTACACGCCTGAATGAGCACCAGCTACACACACACACACCTCTGGAGGCCAAGTTTCCTGGGGGAGGGGAAGGTCCTTAGAGTCCTCCCTGGAGAGAAACAGCTCCTTTTCCTACTTTCTTCCCTAAGTGTCTTTTCTAGCTGATCTTTCTTTCTTTCTTCCTTCCTTTCTTTCAAAGTCTTTCCTTCCCACAGCACAGTGCTAGTGAAAGGGGTGGGGCTGGTTATTTTATACTAGAAAGAGCAGGAATAATTAGGTTCATAAGAAATAAGACGTCACACAAGAGAGCCCACCCCCATCACTTGGAAGAGAGACTGAGCTGACGCTAAGAGCAGCAGCCCTCCCCAGCAGCAACCTAATCTGACATCCACTGTGACCAGCAACAAAGGACCTGCGTATGCAGAGGCCTTGGAGTGGCCTGCAGGGCAGAGCGAGAGGGCCTCATGCCCGAGAGTCCAGGGGAATAGAAGCCACCACCCTTGCTGGCCTCTCAGCAGGGAGGCAGAGCACTGAGCAAGCCAGAATCCCTCTCTTACCCCGAGAGCTGGTCCCTCCAGGTCAGGGTTGGGACACAGTGGCACGGGGTGGCTGGGGGTGGCTTGCACTGCCGCTGCCCGTGCTGTATCTGTTCTGTGGATAAACAGAGGAGCTAAGTCTCCAGGGCAGTTGCCTCACAAGAACTGAAGGTAGTAAGTTCAAATGAATATGTTTCTGGGGGAAAATAATGAAAACCTCAACAAAGACTTTTTTGGGGTGCTAATGCTAATTTTTATTTTTGAAAAATAACAAACCAAAAAAAAAAAAAAAAAAAAAGAAAAAGGAAGAAAACAGAGTGAAAACAAAAGAGAAACAATCCCAATTGTGACTATTTTTACTGTGACTGTGACCAAACATGCAGAGCTGCTCCCTGCCACCTGGAGGCTAGCAGACACTCTAACAACTAGCCTTGACCTTGGGCCCTCTCTACCCACAGGTCGGCAAGGCCCAGCTACTCCCAAGCACAGTACTGCAGCAGACAACGCTTCCCTTTCCATCTCTGGGGAAGGAACTGGAACAAAGCAGAAGAAAGGAAAGGTTTCTCACCTGTACCACTTCCTTGACAACTTTGGCCTCCCTCTTACCGTCTTGTGCCACACAACAGGGAAGTTGGTACTGCTGGCAAAGTTCTGGGTGATGGCAATGGTGGTGTCAAGATTGAGAACAACATGCCACCAGCCCCCTGGAAATCCAACAAATAAATAATTCAGTAGGGAACAGCCCTGCTGCTTCTGACCAAGAGACTGCAGGCGACTTGGTGTCTAACTCCGCACAGCCATGCTCTCACTTTTTCTATTGTTTACGGCTGCTTTCCCGTTAAAAGGCACAGTTGGGCGCTGGTGACAGACTGTCTACCTCAACTGTGTTGATTCCTGGTGACCGAAAGCTGCGACTAACACTGTAAAGGCAAAAGTTTTAGGAGAACCCCTAGCTTTTAAATATTTTCACTTCTGGAAACTTCATCCATCGAAATGTAGCTCCGTCTGGCTGGGATTTTCCACCTCAACCCAGCCAATTCTGCACTCTAGCAAAAGCCACAAAAAGCAGGCATAGGGCTGGAGAGATGTCTCAGAGGTTAAGAGCGCTGACTGTTCTTCCTAAGGTCCTGAGTTCAGTTCCCAGCAACCACATGGTGGCTCACAACCACTTGTAATGAGATCTGGTGCCCTCTTCTAGCGAGTAGGCATACATGCAGACAGACACTGTATACATAATAAATATAAAAATCTTTAAAAAAGAAAGAAACCAAAACACCACCCCTACAAAAAAAAATTTTTTAAAAAAAAAAAAAAAAAAAAAGCAGGCATGGAACTCAACTTAGAGACACCAGGTAACAGGGTCCAGGACCATGGAATGTGGAGATGCACTTCTTTGACTTAGAACCCTAACTAACCCTATCATCACAGCGGGCGTGTACAACAGGAAGGGACTTCTGTCTCATTCTATAATTCTACCCCAATTACAGATACAGTCAGAGCTGGGAAGAACAGTTTCTTCTAGCTCATCTATACCTGGTACAAAGACAGTCTCTCCTGGTTTCTGTAATATCTCCAGGGGTTTGAATTCTGGCGGCCAGGTTGGAAGCTGTGTCCGTGGATAAATAACATTAAACCAGGTAATGGCTTCATCTTGTTGGTTCCCCCCTTCTTCTCGAGTCACCTTGATGAGTTCTCGGGGAGTGCTTGTTGGGAACAGGCACCAACGCTTGTGGCCCTGCACTAAGGCATTCCAGGCACTGGTTCCCAGAGGGTCAATGTGAATTCCAGTTCCAGAACGCGGTGGACCCATCACAAACCACCTACAGGATGGAAACGTGAAGAAGACATGAAGGGTGCCCTGAAATGGACCTAGCATGAAAGTAAAGTCTCTACGGTACACTATCAAACATTATGCAGTATTTACTTCAGAGACTACAAATTCTGATGCACAACATTAAGAAAATTGTATATGAACTGATGTCTAACAGGAAAAATAAAAATCACTGGTAAAAATTATTGCTGAACATTTTTAAAAAGACAGGTTATCTATCAGCTGGCTGTGGTAGCCCAAGCTTTTAATCCCAACACTCTGGAGGCAGGAAGCAGGTGGATCTGTCAATTTAAGGTCAGTCAGGGCTACAGAGCAAGACCGCCTCCAAAATCTCAAACCTAGCTGGGCCCAGTGGCTTTGTTTGTTTTGTTTTCCAAGACAGGGTTTCCCTGGCTGTCCTGGAACTAGCTCTTGTAGACCAGGCTGGCCTCCAACTCAGAGATCTGCCTGCCTCTGCCTCTCGAGTGCTGGGATTAAAGGCGTGCGCCACCACTGCCTAGCTTGGGCCTGAGTTGGAGGCCAGCCTGGTCTACATAATGAATTCCAGGACAACCAGAGATACACAGTAAGACCATGTCTCAAAGAAAACAAAAATCTCTGGAACCCACATCATAGGAGAGAACAGACATACATGCGTGATGTGACACATGTGCCTCTCAATAAATAAATAAAACATAGCTGGGTGTGGTGTCGAACATATTTAATCCCAGCATTTGGGAGACAGAGGTGGGCAGGATCTCTGTGAGTTTAAGGTCAGCCTGGTCTACATAGGGAATTCCAGGATAGCCAGGAATATACAGTGAGAGCTCCCGCCCCCCCAAAAAACCCAAAACAAAAATAATAAATTACAGTAAATCACATTTGCAAAAATAAATAACTTTTTTTATTAAGCAATTGTCTCAGCTGGGTGGTGGTGGCACACACCTTTGATCCCAGCACTCAATGAGGCAGAAGCAGGCAGATCTCTGTGAATTCGAGGTCAGCCTGGTCTACAGAGGGAGTTCCAGGACAGTCAGAGATACACAGAGAAACCCTGTCTCGAAAAACAGATAAATAAATAAAAATAAAAAAGCAGTCGTCACAATTGAATTCTACATTTAAATACCCTGTGGCTGGACTGGAAAGATGGCTCAGGCTAGGAGAACTGACTCCTAGGTTTAATTAAACACCAAGGTTTAATTCTCAGCACCAACACGGTGCATGGTGGCTCACAGTCATCCACCAACCCAGCCCCAGAGGATTTGACGCCCTCTGGTCCCCTCAGCACTGGTACACATACTTGCATGTGGGGGGGGGGCACGCTAGATGACTGGAGACTTAGAGGAATCCAGCCAGGTGTCTGAGTGGACCCCAGACCAACGGAAAGGGCTCAGTGTGCAGAGAGGATCCACTCACTGCTTTCACAGGTTAGAACGAGCTCTGCCAACCACCCTGCCTCGGGCTTTGGCACACTTTACCTGTACGGGGGCCTGCGCTTCTCGCCTGCGTACTGGAAAAGATCATCCGTGAAAAACTTGGGCACCTTGTAGTCTTCCAGAAGTTTCCTTCTCTTGGGGTGTTCGCCGTAGCTGCTGTCAAAGATGTAAAGGGGACTGTCGTCACGGGTGCTCTCCATGTACTCGATGTAGTATTTCATCTTCATCTTCACCGAGTAGCCGTCGTTATCCTCGCCGCACTTGAACTTCTGGTTCCGGTATTTCCTTTTGAGGCGCTCCAGAGTCCATTTCTCCTGCGCGGACCAGCCCTCTTGGGCATTCAGCAGAACCACGGGCTTGTAAGGCCTCTCGTAGCGCTCGACAAATTCTTCCACCGACAGCTGCACAGCATCAGCCCGCTCCACGTTATCCTGGGGGAAACAACAAAAGACCTGTCCGGTTAAAACACAGAACAAGTCCGGTGGCGGAGAAAGGTGTCCCACAGGGCCAATTAGCAACGACACACACCGGCAACGACAGGCATTAGCGATGACCGCGCCTCTGGCCCCTCCAGGGGGAGGGAGGCCCATGTGCGTGAAAGTGAGCACGTCGCACCCAGGGCCACCCCTTCGAGGGGGGGGAAGGAGAAAGGGAGGAGGGGGCTGGCTGGAAGCTCCCATTAATGATCAAGCTGTGACAGCCCGGCTGCGGGAAGGGTGTGGGGACGAGCGGCCTTCGGGTAGCGG